TAGACCAATGTGGTCACCAGCAAGCTTACATGCTTGTTCATGTGTTCCCTTTGAGTTTCAGTCTTAGAGGGGAGTTTGTCCTGAAGGAACTTGAATGCTTGCCTTAATGGCTTCTTGGTGAACAGCTTGCTTATTCTTGTAGTAGCCAGTCATGCTGACATTTTTGTGTTGGTTTTTTCCTGATGATCTTTCTTTGAAGATGTATCTTCTGTTGCTCTAGCTGTTCAAGGCTGGTCTGCTTATCCTTGCTAGAGGGAATGTACCACCTCATAAGGTTCTGGATGGGACTCAGGATTCCACCTAAGGTCCTATACTCTGCAAAGGCTGTGTAAGAGGTCTGTTTCACTGGGCAAGTTCTAGAACCCCTTCTAGGTATTCCAATCAGTTATAGGCTAAAGACAGGCTTAGAAGTTTCTGTAATCATGTTTCCCAACATTCCTTTAGATCCCACTCAAGTGTCTTTATTTTACAATAGTAGTAGGCAAGGGAAACCAGTATTTTTAAGACAGTCAAGCATTTTAGTATTATTTCCCCTCTTCATACTATGCCTAGAACTATCACAGAGCTCTGTTGTTCCAAGGTTGAGCATGCATCACTTTTTACCTCTGTCCCACTTAACCATGCAAGCCTGTCTCAGTGTTCCCCATCTTATCTTGTTCTTCCACCTCCTCCTGCTTCTTGTATTTCCCTACCCAACACCCGAACTAACCCCCTCACCCCCATTGTTGTGGTTGCCTTATTATATTCTATTAATTCTTCCCTCCATTTAAGACAGTCTTATTTTATCCTGTAAATGTACCCGACCGTCTCACCACCAGGATCTCTGTTCCTCTGTGTTGACCTTCTTTCACACTGTAATTGTTTTGATCATAGACTTACCTCCCAAATACTCTGTTCTTATCATTATATTCTGTTCTTGACGCTTCCATTTGTCATTTGAGTTCAGGATGATGCTGCCACGTATGTCATTCTCTGTTGTCTATTCTTGTTGGTTCTCAGTTCACAGAATTTCCTTCAGGATGTTTTTCATAGCAGGGTTGGCTTTGGCAAAATCCCTTAGCTTTTTTTAATCCTGGAATATTTTGATTGCACAATCATAGTTGATTGACCTCTTTGCTGGGTATAGGCTTCTAGGTTGGCAGGTTTTTTTCTTTCAGTTTTATATATGTCTCCCTATTGC